AATGAGCTACAGTTCTGAACATCTTCTAATTGCAGCATGTTTTTTATTCATTTTTATTGCACATTGTCTTTATAATACATGGTCTCATATGCAATTCTCTTCCTTTGTTGCTGCATTAAATATTTTAAGTTTCAATAAAATAGTTTGAAAGAGTTTACCAAATTTTATGTGACTGTGTCGATTGAAGTTTTTTGGTGGGAAGGGGCTCCCTTTTTTGTTTGTTTCTAATTTCAAAAAGACACTAATACAGCTCATGAAGGGTGATAGTTTCTTTCGTCTCTGAGGAGTAAGCCCAGGATCAAGTGAGCCTGCCTAGGAAATAGAAGAAACTCTCTGAAAGTAGTTGGATTCTATTTTGAGATAAGTCTGATGTGTAAGTGTGTTTCTCTTTCTATTTGAGGAAAATAGAAATTTTAGTATTTCATAGCATCTGGCTTTATATTAATTGACAGCATTTCCTCTCTAGAAATTCAGTGCCTGCTTGCATCATCCTTCTCAGTAAGTGCGGTTTTGTTTATTTGGGGGCATCTCTGATTAAGCAGATAACATTGGTAATGTTGAAATAAAGGAACAATTCCTAACATTTTAGGAATACTATATACAATAGCTATTTCTTTTCAGGTGATGATTTTCATACTTGTGTTGTGTTCTTTCTACAGAACAAAGACTAAATAATGACATAATCCTCAGCTGACTGACTGAAAATGTGACTGGACGCACTCCCTGTGGACAGTTGACAGCTTTTTTTTCATATACTTGATAGTCTGTGCACAACATTGTTTTGTCCGGGAAATAGGGGTTGCTCACATGTATTTTTGCGTTCATACGCTAATGCTAAAACTAATACAGTAGTTTCTTAGAGCACTATGTTGTCATGTGTAGCAGAAATAAAGTTTTCTTAGAGCAATATGTTGTTATGTGTAGCAGAAATAAAGTTTTCTTTGCTTAAATAAAAATCATGACTTATTTATGTGAAAGACAAAAATGGAAAATTTCATAGGCAGTGTTTAAAATTCTACAAAAATGACATATTTCATTGATTTTGAGATGCACATTTCAGTACCTCAAAGTGGAAACATCTTGTTATAAATTTTATGCCATAGTGTACTTGACAATCTTCTTTTACATTCTTAATGAAACATAAAGGTACTTCTGCCAATAAATTGCATCTTAGATTCAATAAAATATGGTAATTGCTACTTAATCTATACATGCTGATTAATTACTGACACTAACAGTTACAATAAGGAAGAGCCAAAAGACATTTCATTTGAAATATTTTATGCTGAATTTTTATAACTACCCCAAAATCTGTTGGTACTTTTGTAAAGAACTTTTAAGATTATGAAAGCAATAATGATGAAGAAAAAGTTAAATTAGTGCTCATACTAAGTGTTTTTAAAAGATTTATTTATTTGAAGGGCAGAGGGACAGAGAGAAAGGACAAGAGAAAAGAGGTATGAGAAAGACAGAGGTATCCGCTATCTGCCAGTTCATTCCCCAAATGCCTGCAACTGCCGCAGCTGGGCATGGTCAAAGCCAGGAGCCAGAACTCCATCCTTGAGTGATCGTCTGCTACTTCCCAAGAATATTAGAAGGGACTGGACCAGAAATGGAGTAGCCAGGACTCAAACTGTCACTCCCACATGGGATGCAGGAGTCCTGAGTGACAGCTTAACCCACTATACCACAGTGCCTGCCCCAATAAGTGTAAATAAATATCAGTGCCTTTGGACTGTAGTCAGTTTTCCTTTTATATAAATACAAGTATAATTGCCATTTCAAAAATACAATATGAATGCAATTTTTAGAACAGACTATGATAAATGGTAGTCATTTCAAAACTAAAAATTAAAAATGAGCAACCTATTCTGCTTGTATTTTACATTGCCAAGAAAAAAATTATATCAGTTTTTAAAGTGAATGATAGGTGTCAAAAAGATACCTCAAAAAAAAGATATTATAAATGATATGTAGTTGTTAAAACTACTTATTTATCATTATGCCTCTTACCCTTAGTTAAACCAGATTTAATGAAACAGCAGAGAGCTGGCCTGGAAGAGGGGCAACCAGGACAGAATCTGGCGCCCCGAACGGGTCTAGAACCTGGTGTGCCGGCGCTGCAAGGTGGAGGATTAGCCTAGTGAGCCGCGATGCCGGCCATATAAACTCTAAAGAGACTTGTACCTCTCTGCCTACAAAATACTTCTTTGCTTTTTCAGGACACCCTTCTGTTCAGTTTTATTTGCCAGTCGTACATCTCAGTGAACAGTGCATACTTTGGCTTCAGGGTGCCTTTCATCTGTGTCCTCTCAGTCATTTAGCCTTAGTGCTGCTTTTTTTATCTCTTGCAATTGGTTCCCAAAATTTTATCTTTCAAAGCCAGAATGTCACAATTTTCTTTAAATGGGGAAATTCTAGAATCCAAGAAATAGCATTTAGTAATTAGTACTTTTGTCTGCAACTAAATGTTTGCTTCTCAGATGTACTTTAGATATTAAAAACATAATATGTGAATGTTTACATGCTAGCAAATGTCAGTTATTAAAGCTGTCAACATCATGAGGCTTTATCAGTAACAAATCAATAAACTTCTCTTTCAAGTACGTGGTTAAAAAGTGACATTTAAGATAAAGCCAAGTGAAAACTTCCAAATTCGTTAGCTTAGGTCTTTTATTAGAGATTTCAGGTGCTGAAAACAGCTATCAAATTGTATGCTTTTAGATCATCATGACCCAAACTATATTCCATTGAAATGCTAGAAAGAAATTTTTATGGTCAAATATATTTAGAAAGTGTTTGGTATTATTAGTTCCACAGGTTTTATCACAACCTATGTATAAAGTTAGTGAAAACTACCAAAGAAATTTTTACTCTAAAATTTTAGCTTTTTGTGAATTTTGTTCCTATATTTTGAGACCTTAAGAACCCAGAGAAACAAGGGGATTTACAACTAGATCGTGATAAATACTGCCACTCAAAAGCAGGGAAAGGCAGCATGCCATCATTAATTAAGGCACTGAGCCTGAAATGATGGGATTTGTATGCCTCAAAGCAGTAGATTTTAACATTGGTGTGCATAAGAATCACTATGGGTGCTTGTTTAAAATATAGGTATACTGATTCTGCGACTTTCGACATGCTCCCTAAGTGATCCTAACAGGGTGGCCTAGAGATTCTATATATTGGTCTTTAGGTCAGATTGTTAGAAGACACTGAGAAGTTGTTTCCAAGTCTTTTTTTTTTTTTTTTTTTGACAGAGACAGGTCTTCCTTTTCTGTTGGTTCACCCCCCAATGGCCGCCACGGCCGGCGAGCTGCAGCCAGCACACCGCGCTGATCCAAAGCCAGGAGCCAGGTGCTTCTGGTCTCCCATGTGGGTGCAGGGCCCAAGCACTTGGGCCATCCTCCGCTGCCCTCCCAGGCCACAGCAGAGAGCTGGATTGGAAGAGGAGCAACCGGACAGAATCTGGCACCGCAACCGGGACTAGATCCCGGTGTGCCGGTGCCGCAGGTGGAGGATTAGCCTATTGAGCTGCAGTGCTGGCCCTCCAAGTCTTTTTACTATAGACAGTTTTGAGAAGTGAGCAGCTGCCTTTCCCTCAGTGTTATCACTAAATACAAATTTCATTGAGAAATTGAAAAATATAAGCAGTCTCATAAATAATAAAATAACAGACCAGGTTTTCATTTTAATAAATACTTTTGATCTTTGCAAAGAATGATAATTACTTGCTTTATAGCATACAAAGCTTTTATTTTTAATTTATATGTATTTTAAGTAAATTATATATATATATATAAATTATCAAGGATTGGTACTTGTAAAGAAAAATGTGGCTATTGTCATTCTGTTTAAATGACAAAGGAGCATAAAGGTGGTATTATTAATATCAGTGTCAGAAAAGCCTAATCAAAAGTATACAAAAACACTCTGTGTGCAAGTATATCTATGTGCATGCTCCTAAAATGCTCTTGTAAGATGGGTGCATTTTGGTATACCCAAAAGCCTGTTGACTGATAGGTAATCTTAATTTTCAGTAACTTTACTTCAAAAAAAAATACATAGAACTAAAAATCAGTGAGGTCAAGAACAAATGAATTATGTTTATATAACCTGTTCTTCTAGAGATAAAGCTACACACAGGCATTATTTCCTCCACATGTGTTAGGTAAACTCTTAAAATCCATAGCCATTTGTTTGCTTGTTGCCATTATTTTTACATATGACTCCAGGTAAGAAGAAGCATAAAGGTCATCCTTATTAGATAGAAAATTCCATTTTAATATCCTAATTCTAATAAATGGATTGCATTATTTCCTTTTCTAGAAACAGTAACTCAAGAACACATGGACCCTGGGAACTGAAGGTATGGTATGACTAGGGGATCAGATAGAAACATTGAGTTAAAATATGATGTTGTAGCTTATATGATGACCATACTTTGATTTATATTTAAGATAAAAAAGACTTAATCACAGGTTAAATAAAGCTCCACTATACTAAAGATTACCAGGCCCTGGGAAAATCCATCTGTGTGGTTATCACAGAAAAAGGGAGCTCTATGACTGTAATATATGAATTGAAGCCAGTGTCTCAATGTCAGTATTCATTTGAACTAGCTAACCTGCAAGTTGACCAAGACTGTAGTCATTATAGCACCTAGGGGAGCTCCCCATGTGAACTGCTGCAAAAGAGATAGAAGGAAGACATCAGGAGGCTATTTTAGGAAATGTATTTGTATTTGACATACAAAACTTGAACTGTATGAAAAACCAAGTACTATTTTTCACAGAAATTAATAAGAATATTGAGCACTTTAGGATAACCAAAGTGCATGCTTACAGATACTACTTTGAATCTATAATCTTTGCATTCTCGTCCATTTGTAGGTAATTGGTGGTAGCTAATTTATTTTCATATTCATTTATTACTATGATTTTCCAGCATTAGAATAAATAGGTCATAGCATTCATTAACAGAGTCCGCCTGAGTTTTGTATTTTTTTTTGCAGCCAGAACAAATTTATTCAAGAAAAATAAATTTGTAGAGGTGGGTGGCCAACTTCCAGCATGCACATAGACCAAACATGTGGCAGGGACCCCAGTCCCCACAGTGAGCTAAACCTTTTATATAGTGTTTTTATTTAAGTTATACAAGTTTCATGTATTCATATATATAGATTTAGGAATATAGTGACACTTCCCCCTCCACCCTCACTACTCCCAACACTCCAACGCTTCCTCCTCCTCCCTCTCATATTCCCACTCTTAATTTTTACTAAGATCTATTTTCAGTTTACAAAATTGTGGTATAGTTAACCCTATACTAAGTAGAAGAGTTTAGCAAATAGTATGAAGAAGAAGAAAAAAAAAAGACACTGTTCCTCAACAGAAGAGACAAGAGAGGTAAACAAACATCAAATCTCAAAATGTCTCTTTCATTTCAATACATTACATTTCAAGTACTCTGTTAGTTACCTAGCATCAGGGAAAACATATCTGTCTTTTTGGGACTGACTTATTTCACTAAATGTAATGGTTTTCAGTTGCGTCCTTCTTGTTGCAAAAGATAGGATTTCATTTTTTTTTAACAACTGAGTAGTACTCCATAGTGTATATAGCCATAATTTCTTTATCTAGTCAATAGTTGATGGACATCTGGGTTGATTCCATATCTTACCTATTGTGAATTGAGCTGCAGTGAATATGTGGGTACAAATAACTCTTTCATATACTTATTTCTTTGGGGTCAAATGGTAGGTCTATATTCAGATTTCTGAAGTATCTCCCTACTGTCTTCGACAGTGGCTGCACCAGTTTACATTACCACCAACAATGGATTAGGGTACCTTTGTCCCCACAGCCTTGCCAGCATTTGTTGTTTGCTGATTTCTGTATGAGAGCGAGTCTAACTGGAGTGAGGTGAAACCTCATTGTCATTTTGATTTGCATTTCCCTGATGGCTACCGATCCTGAGCATTTTCTCAAGTGTCTGTTGACCATTTGAATCTCCTCTCTTGAAAAATGCTTGTTCAAGTCTTTGCCCATTTCTTAACTGGATTATTTGTTTTGTTGTTGTTGGATTTCTTGAGCTCTTTATAGATGCTGGATGTTAGCCCTTTATCAGTTGCATAGTTTGCAAATATTTTCTCCCTTGCTGTTGGTTGTCTCTTCACTTTGCTGAGTTTCTTTTGCAGTGCAGAAGCTGCTCAGGTTGATGTAATTCCGTTTGCCAATTTTGGCTTTGATTGCCTGTGCTTCTGGGATCTTTTTCAAGAAGTCTTTGCCTGTACAATGTCTTGCAGAGTTTCCCTAATGTTCTCTAGTATTTGGATGATATTGGGTCGTAGATTTAGGTCTTTGATTTTGAGTGAATTTTTGTATAAGGTCTAAGGTAAGGCTCTAGTTTCCTATTTCTGCATGTGGAGACCTAGCACCCTTTGTTGAAGAGACTTCTTGCTCTAGGGATTTTTTTTTTTTTTTTTTTGGGCAGGTAGAGTTATAGACAGTGAGAGAGAGAGAGACAGAGAGAAAGGTCTTCCTTCCGTTGGTTCACCCCTCAAATGGCCGCAATTGCCAGCATGCTGCGCCAAGCCTAAGCCAGGAGCCAGGTGCTTCCGCCTGGTCTCCCATGAGAGTGCAGGGGCCCAAGCACTTGGGCCATCCTCCACTGCCCTCCAGGGCCACTGCAGAGATCTGGACTGGAAGAGGAGCAACCGGGACAGAATTGGCGCCCCAACTGGGACTAGAACCTGGATTAGCCTAGTGAGCCACAGAGCCGGCCCGAGTTTCTGTTTTTTTCCATTGGTCTACAAGTGTTTTTGTGCCAGTACCAGGATGTTTTCTTTTTAACTGCTCTATAGTTTGTCTTGAAATCAGGTATCATGATGCTTCCAGCTTTGTTTTTGTTGTATAATAATGCTTTAGCTACTCAGGGTCTCTTGTGTTTCCATATGAATTTTAACATCACCTTTTCTTGATATGTGAAGAATGTCAATATTTTGACTGGGATCACATTGAATCTGTAAGTTGCTTTTGGTAGTATAGACATTTTGATGATGTTGATTCTTCCAATCCATCAACATGGAAGATTTTTCCATTTTTTAATGTCTTCTTCTATTTCTTTCTTTAGTGTTTCATAATTTTCATCATGGAGATCTTTGACACCCTTGGTTAAATTTATTCCAAGGTATTTAATTTTTTTTGGAGCTATTGTGTGTGGGACTGATCTTAAAAGTTCTTTTTCAGGGCCGGCGCTGAGGCTCACTAGGCTAATCCTCTGCCTTGCGGCGCCGGCACACCAGGTTCTAGTCCCAGTCGGGGCGCTGGATTCTGTCCCGGTTGCCCCTCGTCCAGGCCAGCTCTCTGCTGTGGCCCGGGAGGGCAGTGCAGGATGGCTCAAGTGCTCCCTGCACCCCATGGGAAACCAGGATAAGTACCTGGCTCCTGCCATCGGATCAGGGCGGTGCGCCGGCCGCAGCACGCCGGCCACGGCGGCCATTGGAGGGTGAACCAATGGCAAAGGAAGACCTTTCTCTCTGTCTCTCTCTCACTGTCCACTCTGCCTGCCCCCCCCCCAAAAAAAAAAAAGTTTTTTCAGTCATGACATTATCTCTGTATACAAAGGCTATTGATTTTTCCATATTGATTTTATATCTTGCTACTTTACCAAACTCTTAAAGAGTTCCAGTAGTCTCTTAGTGCAGTCTTTTGGATCCCCTATATATAGAATCATATCATCTGCAAATAGGAAAGGTTTGATTTCCTCCTTTCCAATTTACATCCCTTTGATTTATTTTTCTTGCCTAATGACTCTGGCTAAAACTTCCAGAACTATATTAAATAGCAGTGGTGAGAGTGGGCATCCTTTTCTGGTCTGGATCTTAGGGGGAATGCTTCCAGCTTTTCCCCATTCAATAATATGCTGGCTGTGGGTGGGTCATAAATCACCTTGATTGTGTTGAAGAATGTTCCTTCTATACTCAATTCTCTTAAAGTTTTCATCATGAAACAATGTTGTATTTTATCAAATGCTTTCTCTGCATCTAATGAGATAACCATATGGTTTTTGTCCTTTAGTGTGTTAATGTGATGTATCACATTGATTGATTATTTTATATTGAACCATCCCTGCATACCAGGGATAAATCCCACTTGGTCTGGATGAGTGATCTTTCTGATATGTTGTTGGATTCAACTAGCTAATATTTTGTTGAAGATTTTTGCATCTATATTCATCAGGGATATTGATCTATAGTTCTCTTTCTCTGTTGTATCTTTTTCTGGCTAGGAATTAAGGTGATGCTGGCTTCATAGAAGGAGTTTGGGAGGATTCCCTCCCTTTCAATTGGTTTGAATAACTTGAGAAGAATTGGAATTAGCTCTTCTTTAAATGTGTGGTAGAATTCAGCAGTGAAGCCGTCTAGTCCTAGGCTTTTCTTTGTTGGGAAGGTCTTTATTACTGATTCAGTTTCCGTCTTGGTTATTGGGCTGTTTAGGTTTTTTATTTCTTCATTACTCAATTTTTGTAGATTGTATCTGTCTAGGAATCTATCCATTTCTTCTGGGTTTCCCAATTTGTTGACATATAGCTCTTTGTAGTAATTTCTGATGATTCTTTTTATTTTTGTGGTATCTGTTGTTATATTTCCTTTTTCATCTCTGATTTTATTGATTTGGGTCTTCTCCCTCTTTGTTTTGTTTTTTATTTTTGTTTTTATGTTTTTTGGTTAGTTGGGCCAATGGTATATTAATTTTGTTTATTTTTTTCAAAACATCTCTTCATTTCATTGATATTTTGTTGTGTTTTTTTTAGTTCAAGTTTGTTTATTTCTTCTCTAATGTTAATTATTTCTTTCTTCCTACTAATTTTGAGTTTTGTTGTTTTTCTAGGTCCTTGAGATGCATTGATAGCTCATTTGGTACGTTTCCAATTTTTCACGTAGGTACTGGTTGCTGTAAACTTCCCTCTTAACACTGCTTTTCCTCTATCCCAGAAGTTTGGATATGTTGTATTGTCATCTTCATTCATTTCCAGACATTTTTTAATTTTACCTTTGATTTCTTCTGTAACACACTGTTCATTTAGAAGCATGTTGTTCTATGTCCATGTGTTTGCATATTTTCCAGAGATTCTAGGGTTGTTAATTTCCAGCTTCATTCCATTGTGGTCAGAGAAGATCATGGCATGATTTTGATTTTTGTGAATTTGCTAAGACTTGCTTTATGACCTAGCATATGTCTATCCTAGAGAAAGTTCCATGCACTGATAAGAATGTGTATTCTGCAACTTTGAAGTGAAAAGTTCTCTAGGTATCAGTTAAGTCTATTTGGTCCATAGTGTTGATCAGCTCTGTTGTTTCTTTGTTGATTTTCTGTCTATTTGTTCTGTCCCTTGATGAAAGTTGGGTGTTGATGTCCCCATTAGTATTGTTTTGGATTCTTTGTCTCCCTTTAAATCTATTAACAGGTCTTTTAAATAGCCAGGCACCCTATAATTTGGTATGTATACATTTATTATAGTCACATCTTCCTGTTGAATTGGTCCCATAATCATTACATAGTATCCTTCATTTCTTCTAACAGTTTTTATGTTAAAGTATATTTTATCTGAAATTAGGATCACAACACCTGCTCTTGCTTGCTTTCTGTTAGCATGGAATATCTTTTTTCATCTGTTCACTTTCAGTCTGTGTGCAGCTTTTTTGATGAGATATGTTTTTTGTAGGCAGCAAATAGATGGGTCTTGATTTTTCATCCATTCAGCCAGTCTGTATCTTTTAACTGGAGAGTTGAGGCCATTTATATTCAAAGTAACTATTGATAAGTCACACCTTGGCCCTGCCATTTTTCCATAAATATTCCTACTGTTTACCTTGGATTTCTTTTGTACTTTTACTAGACTTTCTGCCTTCACATTCTTTCATAATGATGACTATCTTTCTGTGATTCTGTGTGTAGCACATCTTTAAGCATCTTTTGTAAGGCTGGACAAGTGGCAGCAAATTCTTTGAATTTCTGTTTGTTATGGAAGGTCTTTAATTTACCTTCATTCATAATGTAAACTTTGCGGGGTACAGTATTCTGGGTTGACAATTTTTTTCTTTTAAGACTTGGACTATATCTCACCATTCCTTTCTAGCCTGTAGAATTTCTGATGAAAAATCAGCTGTGAGTCTAATTAGAGATCCTTTGAAAGTAATCTAGTGTTTCCCTCATGCACATTTTAGAATCTGTTCTTTATGCTTTGCTGTAGAAAGCTTGACTACAAAGTGTCATGGTGAAGATCTTTTCTGGTCATTTCTGTTAGGAGTTCTGTTTGCTTCCTCTATTTGGACATCCCTTTCTTTCTCAAAATTGAGTAAGTTTTCTGTAATTATCTCACTAAATAGGCCTTCTAGTCTATTCTCTCTTTTCAAACTTTCAGGAACTCCTAAGGCCTGTATGTTGGGTCACTTGATAATATCCCATAAATCTCCAACACTGTTTTTAAGTTTTTTATTTTCCTCTTGTTTTTCTTGGTCTGACTGTAAGATTTCCAAAGATTTGTCTTCTTGTTTGGATATTCTTTCTTCTGCCTCACAAAGTCTGCTGTTAAGGCTTTCTACCACATTTTTATTTGATCTATTGAATTCTTTATTTCTAATATCTCCTTTTGATTTCCTTTTCAATTTCATGGGAAAATTTTTCATTCATGTTATGTATGGTTTTCTTTAGTTTGTGGATTTGCTTCTAATTGCTTTTGAGTAATCCTATGATTAATTTTTTTAATTCCATTTCTGGCATTTCCTCAATCTCTTCCTCTTCATATTCTAATATTGAAATGTTTCCTTTGTGTGTGTGTTGGGGGGGGGGGGTCATGGTGTCTTCCTTGTTCTTGTTTCTTGAATTTCTGCATTTGTTTTTAGGCATTTGAGGAGTTGATTTTTGTTTTTCCTGCTACACTTGTTCTTAGCTGAAAGGCTAAGAAAAGATTTTTTTTCCCTCTGATGGCTTTTATCTTTGAGCTGTGTGTCTGTGGCTTAGTGGAATGTCTGCACTTTCAGTGAATACCAAGAGGTATGTGGTGGCTGTGGCCAGGGAGCTCTGGTCAGTGCTCCAGGGTGGAGTAAGTATCCAATGTAACACTCAAGTTGGGTGTGGTAGATCTCAATGCCCGGGTGTTAGTCCCCAGTGTGTTCCACACCACCATATGAACCACACAGATGATCTGCGCAGGCCACACTGGGAGCACAGTTCCTGCTGCAATAGCCTTCTCTAGGCAATCAAGGAGCTCTGAGCATGTGGAGCCGTACCCAGTGATTGCTCAGAGACCCAGCTACACCATGCAGCTTCATATGTAACTACCAAGTCCCATGATCTCAGCACTCAAGGCTCCTGCAGTCGCTAGGTAGAGATTTCACTCTGCCCTGCCAGCCTGTCCAGTGAACAGAGAGGCAGATGTTCCCTGAGACAGGTCTGCCTAAGTGTCTTGATCCTAGGAGGCTGTGGGCACCTCATTGTCCTACGACATGGTGGCCTCCTCCACCTCCACTTCCTCCTCCTCCTCCAACCTCCCAGCGAGGCTCAAAGTCAGTGGAGACTGCAGATTGTTCCCTCTGCTAGAATCTCTGGATTACACATGTAAACAAGAGCCACTGGCTGATTGTTGATCTCTCCCTGCCACTGCCGCAAGTACTGCCAATAATATGGTGACTTGTCAGCCAGTTGCTGTGCGCGGGCACAAAGTCTTCTGCAGCTCCCACCTACCCTTTCTCAGCTGAGCTGCAGGCCTTGTTGTGGAGAAGTTGGAGCAAAATAAATGCGCCCCCTCTGCTTCCGGTTGGTCTGCAGGTAACCATTAGCAACCACTAGCCCCCAGGGCTCTGGTCTGGACTCATGCACGCTCTCCCCCTGGTGTGTCACCTTGGTTTGCCGCGGTTCACTCTCACCCCTGTCTCCAAGCTGCCACCCACTCCAGCTCTCAGCTGCTGCAGTTCTCAGCTGCTGTTGCAGTGTTCCTCTTCCTCTTGTAGGATTTCCAGTGTGGATTTCTCTCCACTTCTCCCTTGAGAGTGCACTTCCTACACTTTTACTTTTTTTTACTGCTTATCCCTAGCTTAGTGCAGAATGTCATTCCCTAACCAGCCATCATGGAATCTCTGAACTTTTTTAAATTTTTATAAATATAAAAAGAACAGATTTCATAAGTATAGTTCTAAGAAGATAACCATGCTTCCCTCCCTGACACTTGCCCTCTCCCTCCCTGAAAACCTCTCCTTCCCTCCCTTTTCTTTTCATGAATTTTGCCAAAGACATAATTTTTTTATTTATACAAAGACATAATTTTAATCTGCTCTGGAATCACAGGCTTAGTTCTCCACTAACCATAATATTCAACAGGTAAAAAGTAGGGAGACCACAGTTCCACAGGAGCATAAACAAGGGCTAAAAATGACAGTCATATCACATGGTGTCCATTTCATTCCTATACATTTTTGTTTTCTATATTAACAGCCACATATCAGAGAAAACATATGATATTTGTCTTTCTGAGACTTGCTTATTTCACTAAGTGTAATGGTTTCCAGTTGCAAGCATTTTGTTGCAAAAGACTAGAAAACACAGAGTTTATAAAGGATTTTGTTTGTCTTTTGTTTTTTAGAGTTTTCTACAATTTTCTGGAGATGTGAAAAAATACATAATTTTTCCCTGTCAATAAAACCTGTTATGTTTGGTTTTATCCTTGTAAGATATGGTTTTTGTTTTATTTGATTTACTTGAAAAGTAAAGTTATAGAGGGAAGAGGGAAAAGTCTGCCATCCGCTGGTTCCTCTCCAGATGGCCAAATGGCCAGAGCTGAGCTGATCAGAAGCCAGGAGCCAGGAGCTGCTTCCAGGTCTTCCACGTGGGTGTAGGGGCCCAAGCACTTGGGTCATTGTCCACTGCTTTCCCAGATGTAAGCAGAGGGCTGGATTGGAAGATGAGCAGCTAGGACATGAACCAACACGCATATACAATACCAGCATCACAGGTGGAGACTTTAGCCTGCTAGTTAAGCCACAGTGCCGGCCATGATAAGTTTTTCATTCTTATATTATTGATCCTTTGGCACGAAAAACTTCCTTCATGTTACACGTTAGTACATTAGTAATTTAAGAAGATAAAGTGCCAGTGTGACATTTGGGGAAAAGTGAAGAAGATCACAATCTGTTACTTGTAGGATTGACTTCAGAAAAACCTACAGAAGTTGCTGAGAGAAATGGACTAGGTAACTTGCTTTGACAATGTCAAAATTTAACCAACAATCACAAAAAAAGAGCGTATTAGGAGTAATGGCACCTACCTTTGCTAGATCATCATAAAATCTTTGCAGAGTCCATCTACCACTAGGTACCATCTTGGCTTAATTGTTCACCAGAAATACCCAAAAGAGTTTATCTCTTACCACTTTTACCCTCAGTCTGGGTACTCTAATTAATTGCTTCTTTTACCCAACCCAATCTTGATTCACTGGAATAACTTGAAGTATTCACACACACACAAAAAAGATGGAAATATTTCTCTTTACATTTTCCTGAAAGATTAGCAGTGTTCCTGGAATGCCACACTTCCACTTAATAGATTTCAGTTACTTAATTAGGAATTTATGGTGTCTTCTATAGCTTGTTGATATAATTAGCTTTCAGCTTTCCAAATCAAGCTTTATATATTGTGCCTTTCTAGATCTGCCTTTTCATCCAGAAAATATGAAAGATGATCGTTGTAATGTAAACACAAACACCTACAACCCTCCTCCCATGCAGTCATAGAAACTGAGATAAGGATAGAGTAAAGTAGGAAGAATTTCTGCTAAATATAGTAGCAAATGTTCTACATTGATACAGCTTGTCAGTGAAATAACATGGCACCTTAGCGTCCCACCTTTTAGTGCTCTTTATTAGCTGTAAGAAGATTGACCATTCCAATAATTTGAGACTGTAATTGAGGGTCTTGTCAGAATTGGCTTCTTGTCTGTGCTTTTTGTTTTTGCTTATTTATTTGAAAGGTAGTGTTACACACAGAGATTGACCTTCCATCAGCTGGTTCACTCCTCAAATGAATGCAATGGCCAGAGCAGGGCCAAGTCCAAGCCAAAAGCCAGAAACTTCATCCAAGTCTCCCACGTAAGTGCAGAGGCCCAAGAACTTGGATCTTCTGATGCTTTCCCAGGTGTATTATCAGGGAGCAGCCAGAACTCAAACTTGTGCTCCAATATGAGATGCCAGTGCTGCAGTCAGTAGCTTAACCTGCTACACCATGGTGCCAGCCCTTTTCTGCATTTCTTAACCAGAGACTCTGAAGTTCCATTATATTGAAAATTTTCCGGCCAGCGCCGCAGCTCACTAGGCTAATCCTCCGCCTGCCCTGCGGCGCTGGCACCCCGGGTTCTAGTCCTGGTCGGTTGCTCCTCTTCTAGTCCAGCTCTCTGCTGTGGCCCGGGAGTGCAGTGGAGGATGGCCCAGGTCCTTGGGCCCCTGTACCCACATGGGAGACCAGGAGGAAGCACCTGGCTCCTGGCTTCGGATCAGCGCAGCACGCCAGTTGTAGTGGCCACTTGTGGGGTGAACCAATGAAAAAAGGAAGACCTTTCTCTCTGTCTCTCTCTCTCACTGTCTAACTCTGCCTGTCAAAAAAAAAAAATTTTTTTTTTTCCTTACCCAAGAGAACCACAAGTGGCATCACCTAGGCAAAGGAAACATAAAAAATCCAACCTCTGACTAGAAAAGTAGTTGCTGAACGGCAGAGGCAATATAAGGGACACAAGAAGGTTAACGTGTGCACATCAACTGATTTAGAATACATGCAGAAGGGAATAGAGTTGTTTGTTTGGATTTGGTTTGGTTTTTCCAGCTGCTTTGTCCTAAGATCTTCGATTTCACTGCAAGGAAGTCCCTTATCCACTTCTGCAGCTTGACTTCCTAGGAGAATGAAATAGGTTTAACATTTCTGGCCACCTCCTGGATATTACTTTAGTACTTGAGTAGACTATAAAAGAGAAAGCAATATTGGAGTCTGACAGTTCCTCTGCAATTGGTTTAAATAAATCTGCCATCACTGAGAAGTGCATAACTAAGTGGGCAAGAGATCTGAACAAGCACTTCACAAAAGAAGGCGGAGAAGGGATGACAATTTCTTTTTTTCAGCAGAGTATGGGAGGATTAGGTAAATTACCTTTGAAAAGAAATATTATGTTTTTCTCCATAGTACTTTGATATTTAATACAAAGTAAAAATATTTAAAACTGCAAGAAGATACCCTTAATTGGTATGAACAGCTAAAATTAAAATACAGTACCCAGATGTGGAGTACCAACAGCTGGTGGGAATCTAAATTGGCTCAACCACTTTGGAAAATGTTGACAATACTAAAGTGGAACCTAGATAGATACCCTCAATTCAGGAATTTACTTCTAAAAGGTATTTAACAGAGATGTATACTTATGCATGAATTTCAAAAAGAATTTTAACGACATAAATATCTTTTAATTCCGTTTTCCATTAACTTTTGTAGTACCTTCATATTTACAAAAAAAAAAAAAATAGTGTTATTCAGAGTGACCTCATATTGGAAACAACTGGCACCCAGCAGCAGCATGCATACAATGACTAGGATACCAAAGCAAGGAAATGGGCCAATTTTTGCTATACGTAACAGTTTAAATGAATCTCACAGACATAATGAACAAGAGAAATTAACTAACAAAAGAAAATGTGCTGTTTGAACCTCACAGAATCCAAACACAGAAACACCTTTGGGCAGAATGGAATGAGAGTCACATGAGGGGTTTATGGTGTTAATGTTTCTTGATCAAGATGATGATAACTTTTTAATATTTTTAAACTATTCCCTATGGTTATACATTTTCTAATGTTTGTCTTACATCTTTATTAAAGTTTTCTTTTTCCTTAATGAGTAAAACAAAATCAGCCTAAGGCTGATTCTGCAGGGTAGGAAGAGGTGTGCCCTGACACATTCAGAAGGGCATTCTTTATTCTTCCATGAATAGCAAGAAATGTTAGAAAATAATCTCATTAGCTCCCACTGTGATGCAACAAAGTGTTATGATGAGAAGAAGGTGGGGGAAGAGTAAGAGAAGGGAAAGAAAAGGAAGTGCTAAATTAAAACTTTTGTCAGAAACAGTAAATAATCATGGCAGTAAGGGAAACTAACCCATGGTGAACAACAGTGAGTATTAAACTGCTTTTCAGAATCCTGTGCGTTCTCATGAGCCCACGAGAGGAAGATGGTTCTACCCACATGTTCATCATCCACATCAGAGCTGCCTTCATAAATGTTCCTGTGTTTAATAAGCTTTCCTTTAAGGGAATCTGCAGCTCAAAGGAGTTATGTTAAGTGAAAAGCACCAGAGCAAAAGATAAATGTAAAAAGCACCCTGAGATGACTAGAGAGAAAACACGCAGATTAAAAAAAGACTGGTTACAGAGACTTATCCTTTGAACAATAGATGTCCAAAAGAAAACAGCAACACAATCAACAATAATCAGTTTTAATAGAAGAATTTGATGTTATAGAAAAACAAGAAGAAGTCTGAAGATTATCTTCTATACATTTTAAATGCCAACTGGATGGAGCACAGTCTACAGTTTTGTAGTTCAGGATTTTATCCAATCTGGAAGGTAATAAAAAGACATTGTGTATGCAAGGTGCTATTCATTTGAGCTTCCTGGAAAAAATTACTTGAGTATGATCATCACACTACCAAAATGAATCAAAATTAAGAACAAAGAATGAGGAATGAAAAACCCGTTGGTGAGTATTGAAATCAGTGAAACTATTGGGATAATACAGATAATTGTTGAAAAATTAATTTCTAAAACAAGGCTTATTGTATGATTTTAATTCATCCAAAATTTTAACCCCAGATTAAGTTAATGAAAACAAGGAATGTTAGGTTTTTATTGGAGAGTGGGGGGAGTAAGGTAAAGGAATAAAATTCTCATGTTTTATAAAGAATAATTGTTCTGCTTTTTACTTTGATAACTAAATGTAAAGAATTTTGAATTGTGTTAAGGTAGTTAGTAATAAAAGTAATAACAATGTTTCTTGTTAAAATGCTTGAAAAATGCAAAAATGAAATTGTATAGTTGACAAAAACAAAAAAAGACCAAAGTGTTTTTAATTCTAAAAGCAACATGGAAAAATCTACTTTTCCCAAGAGGCTTACCTTTATATCAAATTCTATCCCATATACCTAACACAGAAAAGTAAATCAGAGCACAGTTTAAGGGAGAAAGTACAAAGCTAAGTAACAGCAACATATTCACCTATAAAATTGCTATTTAGAGGGAAGACAGCAGACCCTAACATTTGTTAGGCAGGACAACAGAGGATTAAAATGTAGATTTAGTGTAGGGATAATGAGGTAGAATTTAAGATGTCCTAGCTATCAGGTCAAATAGAGGGAAGAAATTACCCTTAAAATTGAAAAAAAATTAATAAAATTAAATGTATCTGCAGAGAAGATATGGGTTTTTCCTCCATTGGAATAGTTTACGAATCTGTCACGTAGCAATATTGAACAACAAGCAGCGTAGGGAACCCAGAAAAATCTCTTACCTTCTGTTTATCAGCTGATTTAGAATATTTACAACAGGATAACTTTTCTTTAATTCCTTAAATGTGTTCTCTGGAGCCTTTGTCTTATTTTTTTTTTTTTTTTTTTTTTCCTTAAGATTTACTTATTTGAAAGG